GCCCCCCCTCTCCTCCCTTTCCCCCTCCTCTCCAGGTGGCTCCAACCATCTGTGGCACCTGAACATGGGGCATGTTCTGGGTACATCAGGGAGAATTTACTCTTTCCCTCTCAGAGATTCAGTACCTGGAACTGAAACAGACCCACTTTTCAAGGGCAGACATCAGATGTCACAGAACTGACCACCCTTGCAAAGGCAGGGCCATCTGCCAGAAAGAGGCTGCCTGGCTGGGCAAGCCGGAACTGAGACCAGCCCTAATGCATTTCTTTTAACCTTGGGGCTGAACTTAGTTCCAAACCCCAAGAGCCTTTCCCAAATGGGCCTCCTTTGTCACCATTATTATTAGAAAATCAATGGCAATGTCTGTTCCTCTCTAATGTTTTTGCCAGGAATGAAACCAGCAGCGGCTCTGAACCAAGCTGCCCAGGAGGCCTGAGGGGGAAGCGGGCTGGGTGGACGTGGGAGAAGCTTGGCCAAGGGCAGGAGCCACTGCAGGCGTGGCAGGGCCTGCAGGCCACTCCTCTGAGGCCGGGAACCTGGGATTGCCGCAGGGTCCCTGCGCACTGCTCCACCCCTTCATCTGGACTGTTGCCACAGCAGTCCCCCCACCCCACCGTTAGGACTGCGAGGCCCCCATTTTTCTATTCTGAAAACAAAGGCACTTCAAGGTGAGGAGAGCTTGTCTGCTTTGAGTAAAGCAATTTTTGGTTCAGGTTTACTTTTTCCTGGTTGAGATGGCAGGCAGGCCGCCTCTGAATAAAAAAGAGCCCTACACCGCCCTGCCTGGGACCTCCTGCCGCTCTCCGCAAGGGCCCCTAACTATGGGACACAGTCCGAGTGTGTGTTTTGGAGGGATTGTATGTGTGTGAGAGCTTGTCTGTCCCTAGTCTTTGCAGCTGGCAGCCTGCTGTTCATGACAAATAGGCAGGCTTCCAGCCATGTGCTTTTCATGGCAACCTTGGTGGCCATGCCAGGTGGGCACAGGGGGCCGCCTGAAGGCATGCAGACCCTACAGTGGATGGTAGATGATCCAGTCTAAATGAGGGTGATTTCTGCTTGTTGCACTGGCACATTCCTAGGGCCCAGCAGTATGTGCGTGTGCACGGGTGGCATGGGGCAGTGTCCCCAGAGGTGCTGCATGGTGCTGCTAGGGTCCCTCATGACCTTTAGTAAGTGCCAGCATTTCTCCTCACCTAACCTGCCCTCCTGGGTGGTGGTGAAGGCAGAGCTGAGAATCTCCTCCCACGAGAGAATGAAGACTAGGAGCCCCCCTAGTCTGGGTCTCTGCTCCTGGGATCTAGCGAGTAAGACTTCTGGGATTCTGGAGCCAGCTCAGTGAGGCAGTGGGTTCCGTGTCTCAGCCCAGTGTGGAAAGATGGAGTGGGAAGGAAGGAGGGAGAAGCTACAGCATCCTCAGGCCTGTGGAATGGAAGGGAAGTACAGAAAAGCAGACGAAGCACATGATTTCGGGCTCTGTGCTTGCTGCTCTGATGGGAGGAGAACGGTGGGAACCTGGACCATCTTTGGGGCAAGAAAAGGGGTGAGTAGATCAGAGAAGCTGGTAAGAGGTTTCAGAGGCTCAGTGGGTTGGGAAACCCCAGAGAAGGCCAGCAATATTCCAGGGGTCAGCTGGGGCTGGGGACTTCATGACAATACTTAGTCATTTCTTTATTTCTTGTTGGGAGCACCATTTGCAGGATGATGCATTATTCGCTCTTTCCAAAGATCTTCCCCATGGGCCTGATGTTGCTTGTTGGTTGGCGCAGTTGCCTTGGAGACTGCCCCTCCTCCCTCCACCTTCCCTCTTTTGCCTGGAAGTTCTGGCCCTCGGCCTCCAGGGCTTGGAAGGAGTTGACATCTGTTTCTTGTATCAGTCCTTTGTGCTCTGGGCCCCAGCCCCGTGCAGAATGGAAATTCCTGGTGAAGGCCAGCCCCACCTAAGCAGATCCCCCACCCTGCAAAGAAAGCCTGGGGTGTGGGCAGCGGGAGGCTGGGGGTGTTGAGGGAAGACAGGCCCAGCTTCAGCACGGCCCCTGGGCTAAGATGCACTGCCTTCTCTGGGGCATTAGGTCTGGTCGATCCTTTCTCACACAGTATGCTGATTGCTCTGTCTCTACCTTGCCATTCCTCCCAGGAGTGCAGGCTCGGGAGAAGCAGCCTGCAGAACCCCCAGCCCCTCTGCGGAGGCGGGCGGCCAGTGATGGACAGTATGAGAACCAGTCTCCAGAACCCCCATCCCCCCGGAGCCCTGGGGTCCGCTCCCCTGTCCAGTGCGTCTCCCCGGAGCTGGCTCTCACCATTGCTCTCAATCCTGGAGGGCGGCCCAAAGAGGTGAGTCCTTGGACTGCATCCTGGGGCCACAGAGGGTAGCAGAACCCACCTGAACTATCCAGGAACTGGCTGGCCCCCTGGGGGACACTGACCTGTCATTAAACTTGGTAATTTTTCTTCCATGTCCTCACTTCAGGTTATTGTCTCTGGCATGTGGAACTTTGAGCCCATTTCCTTCCCCAAAGAGCTCTGATGCTCCCACTTCCTAAGTGAGCTCTGAGATTGAAGTTTCCTTCTTGACTTCTAAAGAGTACCCACCTTAGTAGGGTGGCAAGGATCCTGGGTATGGCCTAGGTGACCGAGCCTCCAAACTCTAAACCAGATCACAGACTGACAAGAGTGTTTCTGAACCCTTTCTAGATACAGAGGTTTCTTGGGAGATCTAATTTCAATGCCAAATTTGTGCATTTCTGAGATATTTCAATAGTTTGAGGCAGTGGGGCCTAAACTTCAGTGAACATAACAATCACTGGGGGATTTGTTCAAAATACAGATTCCCAAGTCCACCTCCAGAGATTCTAGCATATTTGATTTGGGATGGGTCCCAGGAATCTGCGTTTTAAATGTGCACTCTGGAAGATTCTGATGGTGGTCCATGTCCTGTGCAATCCAGCTAAGTAGTCACTCTGGATACAAATGACCTTTGGACATCTTTTCTTTCCTGCTTTCTGGCAGGACCTGACTTCCTTGCCCCCAGCACCTTCTGTTTTGCCTTGCTGTGAAATATTTCCAAGGCAGCTGCTCTGAATTCCACCCACGCTGGACCAAGGCCTTGCAAATAGCCACTTTCCGTTCCTGGGCTGCAGGGAGTTGTTGGGGCCACAGATGGCCAGCATCTCCCTTCGACTTCTGGGTTAACCTGGGGAGGGGTAGGTGGTCAGACTGGCAGGGGATCTGTGGGCTGGTTAACTGGGAAAGCCCTCCTCCTCAGGGTCATGGCCATCAGTGAATAGCTCCCTTTTCCTCCCCTTGTTCTTCCCCTGCAGCCCCATCTGCACAGCTACAAGGAGGCCTTTGAGGAGATGGAGGCAACCTCCCCGACCAGCCCACCACCCAGTGGGGGTAAGAACTCCCTACTAAGTCTGTCTTCCCTGGGTCTCCTTGAGGCCCTGTCTGAACCCTGGGGTGGATGCTGGCAGAGTTGGGTGGGGCCAGAATCTGCTGCTTTGTATCCCTGTGGCTCATTTCACATCACCATCCCTCCCTGATTTCTCTTCTTTTGTGTCGTCCATGCTCGCATATGTAAGGATGCTACAGCTGCAGCCTTAGGATCTAGACTGACCTATTCTGGGGCCCCTGGGCTCCCACAGTGCGGAGTTTTCCTAATTGTTGAGAGTCTGCATCCTGCGTGCAAGACACCCCCCAGCCTAAAGTGATTCTCAGTGACTTGCTGGTCTGTCTCTGAGATATCTCTTGTCCTTCTTGCTTCGGACTTCCATTTGTCTGCTTCCAGGCAGCTCTTCCATTTCAGGCAAGCTATTTAGTTTCCACCAAGGAAAGAAAGGCCCGGAATGCTCAGGCTGACAAAGGTCCCCATCTCACCCATCCTTGGCCTCCAGGCAGGAGCATTTAGTCTGTCCCTGATACACTCACTGGAGAGGCAAGTCCCTGGAGGGCTGAGGCGTTTCCACACAAAGAGAAGGCCAGGATGAGCCCAGGAGCAGGGCAGTGTTGCTTTTTACAGAAGAAGGACATGAAGGAGAGTTGGAGGGAGTTGTTGTAGGAAGCAGAGATGGAACTATTCCTGCCTGTGAAGGCCTCGGGGTCCCTGTGACAGGCACAGGCTGCCAGGGGAGGGAGAAGTGGGTGAGTGGTGGAAGGTGAGGATGGGAGAACCAGAACCGGCTGTGCAGTCTCCTGGTGTGTGGCTGTCCTGTGGAGGGGAGGAATGTGGCACCGGAGCCGGCCCCTGTGCTGGCAAGGTTTGTGTTGGCTGCCGTCTTGGGCACATAGGAGACCAGCGTTGTGCATGGAAGCCATGGCTGTGCCCTAGAGCAGTGCAGTCCCACAGCAAACATGAGCCATATTTGTGGCTTAGAATTTTCTAGTAGCTGCACTGAAAAACCTAACAGGAAACTGGAGGAATTAATTTTAGCGATCTTTTTGTTCTTAACCCAAAATATCCAAAATATGATCATTTCAATAGGTAAATCAAGATAAAAATATTAATGAGATACCTTACAATCTTTTTTTTTTGTAAATGTAAAAAGAGGCCCATGAAATTACTTTTAATAATAGGTTTTATTTAACCCCAGAGATGTAAAATATTATCATTTCAACGTGTAATCAATATTTTGTGTTCTTGTTTCATACCAAGTCTTTGAAATCTGGCACATTTTGGTTGAGACTGGCCATGCTGCGGGTGCTCTATGCCATGGGTGACTTGTGGCTACCATATTGGGCAGCGCAGGCCCAGGGCAGTCTGCTTAAGTGGCAGCCCTGCTGTCTTTTATGACTCTGTCCCTGATCTTACCCCTCCATCTTCATACCTGCTGCCATTCACTGTCAGTCCCAACAGCCGGGATCTTGGCCATACCATGTTTGGAAGAGAAACCACTAGGCTGAGCTAGAGTTGGGTTTTGTCCTTTCCCCATTCCCATTCATCTCCCCCTCCCCTCAGCCAGCCCTGGGTGCCCCAGCAGGAAGAACAAGTCAGAGGTTTCATCCAGCACAGGATTTGGAGAGAGGACAGAGGCGGAGGAATGTGAGGAATTCTCTTGGGAAGAAAAAGCCTTTGCCTAGAGGTGGCTTCAGGGCCCCCCACGCGTCTGCCTCAGCAGCAGGGCCAGATGCCTGGGGACGGGGACCTGAGGGGTTAGGGAGCCTGACACGCTTGAGGAGGAACCAAGGGAAGCTTCCTACTGCCTCTTGTGCCCTTGTCTCACTGGTCCATCTGGGCATCTGCTGTGCCTGTCGGGCAAACATATGCACGCCTGTGGGCTGGAGATACTTTGTGGGCAGTCCATGGAGGGTGACCTCTGAGGCTGGGCTCATTCTTCCATAATTAATTATATTCGAGTTCATTCATTTGACAAACATTAATTTGTGCTTGACGGGTACCTACTGCAAGATGCCATTTTCAGCAGTGGCTGTCCTGGAGGGTGATAGACATTGAATGTGTATGTGTGTTTATGTACAAAGAGAGAGGGAAGGACAGAGACACGCATGTCTAGACTTAGACTTCACCCATTATCCAGATGTATGTGTTTGCACCCATTTGCCCCTCTGCTGTATTTGTTGTGCATCTAAGGAGGGCTTGAGGGTGGAGTGCAGGGGTGATCCATCCAACTGGATCCCCATGGTGTCTCACTGTTCTCACGTGGACCTATGTACACACCTGCATGTGCACAATAAATTATATACACTGCTTGCCTCGAGATACTGTATTTTTGTTAGTTTCCTATAGCTCTCACTGTCTTTTGGGAAAAGGAGGAGGGGCCAGAGAGGGTCCCAGAGCTGCTCTGTGGGTCCTGGGCATCTGAGGGTCACAGCTAGTCTGTAGAGGCCATTGGTGTGGGACAGGCAGCCTCGGCTCTGGCTGATCTGTGAGGTGCATGTCCTCAGGGGCATGGCCTCTGCAGGCTCTCCATAGCCGTGGTAGGAGACAGAGAGCTCATTTCTTTACTTCTCCTTGGAAGTGTGTTAGGAGATGTGGCAGCTGCCACCGAGAAATCTCGTGACAGGGCATAACAACTGCCTTGCTGATCAGTTTAGCATCTGGCTGAGTCCTTGGCTGATGGGAGAAAGCCTGGCAGCCCTTTCTGACCTTGTGTGTTACGTGACGCTTCTAACCCAGATGAGCTGCTTGGGAGGGTTAGCATGGGGGAGTTGGTGTTCTTGGCCAAGGATTGTGGAGGTCAGACTTCTCTCTCTTCCAGAATGCTGAGGTTTGGGGGTACAGAGAGCACCACACAGAGAAATCCTCTCCTCCTAGGATTTGAGAGGGACATGCTAGCCTGGGGGTCAGAGACTTCTGGCTGAGGGTCAGCCTGGGTCTCAGGTTGGCATGGGAGGACAAGATGTGCCATCTTGGTGCCCCATTTCCTTTGGTTCTCAAAGTCCATCTAAGTGCATGGTTTAGAAAGACTGTGTGTGGGGTGGGGAAAGTCAGAGGAGGCGGGGAGAGAAAACGCAGAGAGTTGAAGATAGGCGGAGGAGCCTGTACATGTTGTAAACCACAGCAACGTAAAGGGACTGTAGCAAAGAATTAAGGTTCTAGGGATAGAAATTATTTCCTCAAGGGTGATGGGCAGGGCCAGTACAGGGTTGAGGGGCACCATCATCTCCTGACTTTTCACTTTCCCCTTAACCTGAAGAGGGACAGGGAGACAGGCGAGGGCGGTGGAGCCCAGGCAGCTGCCCCCTGGGGCCGGGGCTCTTTCCTCCGAGCAGCCTCCTGCTGCCCATGCCTCCTGACATGCCCCCACTGAGGCCTACTCCCTGTGTCTCCCCTCTTCTCTCCTACACAGTGCGCTCCCCACCAGGTCTGGCCAAGACACCCCTGTCTGCTCTGGGCCTGAAACCGCACAACCCAGCGGACATCCTGTTGCACCCCACAGGTGGTGAGTGACTAGCTGGAAGGGATGTGGTAGGGGAGGCCAAACGGTGGGGAAGTGGGGGGTAGCGGACCCCTGTGGTCCTGGGCAGGGCTGAAGAGCTAATCAGAAAGGCCCAGAGGTGGTGGGTTCTCGGGATCTTTCTAGAAACAAGGTGGTGGCTTTGTGCTCATGCTGAGGTCAGGCCTGTGGGGCTCTCTGTGCGAGGGTTGGGGGGCATAGGTCCCTTTGCAGCCTTCTTGCCCATTGGGGTCAGTACCACTCCCAGCATCCTGTGCCCTGGGGATTTGGTGGCTTGGCCTCTGTGTTCTGCTGGAAGCCTGGCTCTCCCATCCCCCAGTGTTCAGGCACTTGTGTACACACAAACACGCACATGTACACAGGCCCCAGGTGCACACCTCCCTCTTCCTCCTCACATTTCCCAGTTCTTCTTCTTTCTGTGGGGGAACAGGAAAGTGGGGGGCCCTTAGAGGCCACTTTAAACTGGCTGAGCCCAGAAAGTTACTCCCCAGACTGGTTTTAGGGCTGGGCTGGGATCTGGATCCAACTTTGCCTTTTGTCCTTAGTTGCCAGAAAACTGATCCAGCCAGGTAGGAGGGCAAGGACATGCCTGTGTGACCCACGTGGACACACGGACTCCCACTCTGGGGCTGTCTGCATGGCCCGGGACCCTGAGTCACGGGGACAAGGAGGGGGCTGGGGCTGCCTTTCTCCAGGCCAGCACGCTCCTATCTAAAATGTATCCCAGGTGAGACGGTTCGGCCTGGAGCCATGCAGGGCAGGCGGCCTTGCTCCTGAGAGCGAGGCCTTCCTTAGCCTGTGTGCCCTGGATGCTGGGTCCTGTAAAGGGACCCCGCCTCTCCCCCCACCGCCGGAGTCTTCTCCGGAGAGCCCGCCTCTGGCCTGGCCTCACCCTTCCTTTCTTTCCCACCTCCCTCTCCTCAATGAATCTGTCTCTCAGGAGGTGATTCCTATTAATCTGTCTCTCTGTCTCTCCTTTTTGCGCTTCCTTCTTTCTCCATCCCCTGCCTCTCCTTCTTCCCACCTCTCTTCTCCTCTTCCCTCAGAGGATGAGGGGAAGGTGGTGACAGAGCTTTCCCAAGGTAAGTGTGGTCTGCTGTGTGGCTGCTTCCTCTCTGGGCCGGGGAGCGGCTTTCCACCCGGAGCTTGATCTGGCTGGCTTGGGGGCAGCTCTCTTTCCTGACCAGGTCCCCAGTGATCAGGCCCTCAGCCTCCTGGTCCCCACCCCCTGCTGCTGAGCCATCCCTGCGGACGCTGCCTGAGCCCCGGCTGAGGAGGTGGTAGCTGCTGGGTGTGGGTTCAGGTGCAGCCAGTGTCCAGGAGCTCGTGCGGTGCCATCTTGGCGACAAAATGCCCCTCCTGCCGCTGCCTCCTCCAGGGGCATTTCCGCCAGCTTGCCTGGGGTTGCAGCAAGCCCCTGCAGAGGGTGAGGGACTCCCACAGCAAGAGGGCTTGTTCCATTTTCTGGGGCATGTTACACAGGTATACCCCAGAGCAGGGTTTCTCAACCTCGCCACTCCTGGCACTTGGGGCAGGACAGTTCTTAGCTGTGGGGCTGCCCTGTGTACTGCAGGGACTTAGCAGCCTCTCTGGCCTCTACCTGCTGTACCAGGAGCAGTCACCCAGTCAATCGAAAGTGTCTCTAACATTGCAAATGTCCCCTTGGGAGGTAATCACCCCTGGTTCAGAACCACTGTCTTACAGCCATAAGTTGCCCTCTTAAAGCCTTTGCCTGGTTTCATATCAATACTGACGGTAGGAAATCTGGCTTTCTGAGATTTTAGATGCCTTTGGGGATTTCAAAAGCTATGGACCCACCCCTACACAAATGCATCAGGACTCTCATACACATGATTTTGATAAACCTTTTCAAGGAGTTCATGCCTGTGCCCCTGATTTAGATGAACTGTGCAGTTTAGCATGTATCCCAAATTCAGTGATGACTCAGAGCAGCAGGCGAAATGAAGGGGTGCTGGCCTGGGTGGTCCGTGTGTGTTTCTGGGCATCTGCATCCCCATCTTCATCAGGAGGGATTGGACAATGTGGGCACTGAGACCCCTTCCAGCGCTGACCATGTTATGGTCTCACTTCCCACCTGGGCCCTGGTTCTGTGTAGCGTGGTTTCTTTAAAGACTCCCACTTGGTTTTTTTAAGCCAACTTCCCACTTTCCTTTGCTCTCACCACCTTGATTTTCTACTCCTGAAATGGGCATGGGCTGCGTCCCTTTGATCTGCCATCACCCAGGTAAGATGGCTGGAGCTTCCTGTAAAGCTTTGCCCACTTGCAGCCAGCCGGAGCGTAGGCAACACCACCAGACAGAACGAGGCAGCCCCCAGCAACAGGTCCCAGGATGGGGTGAGCGACAGCGTGCTCCTGGCTGCTGATTCTGGCCAGGCAGTGAGGCTGCACAGCGGGGGGGGTCTCGAATAAGCTGGGGCTGGAGCCAGCATGCGTGTGTTTCAGATGCCACCCCTGCTCCCTTCCACACAGTAGGTGCTCAGCTGTCTTCGCAGTTGCTGACTTAAACTGACTGGTGGGGCCTCAAACTCCCCAGGCAGAAGGGCTGAGGGGTAGGTTATCCCACATGCTGATGGGCACTGGCTGTTGTGTTTCCCACTCTGCGGTGACACTTCAGAGGAATATCAACAGAACTGAGTGGGGCTTTGCCCATTATGCCTCCCAAGTGACTCAGCCACCCTCCTCCATCTGCTCTGGAGCCACAGAGGTTGGAGGGGAGGGTTCTTAGGGATCAACTCTGCACACCCATCATTTTCACAGATGTGGAGCTGGGATCCTGTGATGGGGGGAGGCTTGGGAACATCTGCCCAAGGTCACAGTTAAGAGGCAGCTGGGCGGAGACTGTACTTAATGGTCTCCTCCTCCCTTGGCTGCTTCAGAGTCCTCCTCCTGTCTCTAGGCACTGTGCCCCAGGATTCCAGTGTGGGGGTCGGAATTGCTGTCGTGGCCTGGGGAGCAGGGTAGATGAGGGGCAGGGAGCAAGGCTGTGGGCAGCCAGTTCTATTTTTCCTGACTCATGCATCATCTCCCAGCTTAGACTAAAGCACATTCTTTGCTGACCTTCCAAGGCTCTGCTTGATTTCTCTGCTGACACTTTGATGGGAAATGCAGAAAAAGATGCCTGTGAGGAAAAATGATCACAGGCAGATTTACTCAGCTAGGGGAAAAGACTGTAGGGGAGTCTTCTGTTCAAGGAGTTGTGCTAAATGCTTTATATTCATTCATTCTACCATTTACTGATGCATTTATTCAGTAGATATTTTGTGTGCCTGCTGTGTGCCAGGGACAGTGCCAGGCTGTGGGGATATAATGATAGAGAGTATTATGGATCCTAACTTCATGGAATATGTGCATGAATAGGAGCCAGAATTAAATTATCACTCAGAATTACATACTGAGATGCAGGCTCCAGAGGGAAGGGATATAGTTTATGAGACCTTAGGGCAAAAACCTGACCTTCGCTAAAGAAGTAAGGTGTGAAGGTGAGTGACATTAACTTGGTAATAGGGGTGAGAGAAGAGCATTCTATGGAAAGAGAAAGGGCATATACCAAGGTCCTGGGGTAGGAGCAAACAGCGTGCAAAGTCAGTAAGGCTGGGAGCAAGGAGAGTGGTAACCATGAGGTTCAATAAGCAGGGGTGGGACCATGTGGTGTTGTGTTATTACCATCTTGTTTAACAATTATAGAAGCAATGAAAGGTAGGAGCCTGTTTTTCCAATGAGGAGATGACATTTAGGGAGGTCAAATAACTTTTCCTGGCCTGCATGGTCCGTCAGGGGCACAGATGAGAGCCTATGCACATCAGCACATGGGGGCTGCCCCTTTCCATGTATTTACATTGGGCACAACCTCTAGACACAAACAGTGACTTTTCAGATGTGAGGACTGGGTACTCTTCCCCATGAAGGAAGGAGAGAAAGTAAAGCCTACAGCCATAAAGACGCAAGGTCAGCACCTAGAATAGCTTCCCAGCAGTGAAACAGGGAAAGAAATTGCTAAAACTTCTTTCCCAGAGGAATGGGAGCAGGATTACCATTCAGGTTAGGTTCCAAATGATTAGATGGATGGGTTTGATGTAAGGGAACACGTTGGCCTAGAAATGGCCCCTCCAGGGGTTCCTCCTGCTCGGATTCCTTGGTGATGGCTATGCCGCTGCTTCTGAGATTTTAGGGCAGTGCTATGCAATGCCAGTTTACTGAGCACCTTGCATGTGTCAGGTCTTGTGCTAGGTGAGGAATAAAGATGAGTGAGGCAGCCTGGTGAGGACAGAGATGCCCACAGATATTTTAGCATAAGGCAGAAGGGCTGAGTGAGTAGGAACAGGGTGTCATGGGAGCTCAGAGGAGGGCCATGTGGCCCAATTCTAAGAGGTTTAAAATTCTAACTTTTGAACCCCTGGATTGAGACTTGGGTGTTTCTCTACTTCCTCCCTCCCCCCAACCCACACGTCTTCATTTTACTTGGAATGGGCGGGCCCCTTCTTTCTAGGCAAAGAGCCCTTCCTGGGAGCAGAAAATGTGCTGCAGAGTGCGGATGGAAAGCCGACTCTGGGCCCGGCGAGGCCAAGTCACTCTTGTGCTCCCAGCTGCCCTCAGACACCAGCAGCCACTGGAATGGGTTTGTTCCCACTGGTGGAATGTTCTTTATGAAACACCCTCCCTGGCCCCACCTCTCCCACCCTTCCTGAATCTCCTGGGTGCAGCTGCCCTAGGATTGGAGGAGAGGGGGAAAACCGGGAGAGAGAGGGCGTGAGGGAAGGGTGGAGGGAGGCAGGAGCAGGCACAGTGGGGGCATGGGGGCGACTGTGGGCTGCTGGCCGACACCAGCACTGGATTAGCCAGGGAAAATTAGAAGGAACTTCCTCATCTCGTATGCTCGATCCTGGCTGGGCAGGTGAGTATTCTCATTCCCATTTCACAGATGAGGAAATGGAGTCCCAGAATGCTTCAGCAGCCTGTCCCAAGTCACCCTTTATGTGTTGTTCTCAGGTTGGGAGGAGAGAAAAAGCCTAGGAATAGGCAGAAAAAGGAGGCATTTTCAATATGGAAACTGAGTCTGTAAAACAGAGAAAACTGTTTTTGGCTCCAAAGGTTGGTTTTGAATTAGTTCTGGAGATGGATTCAAGAAATCAAGTTACCTTCCCTAAGGTCCCTCCTGCTCTGGTTCACGAGGAGTGGAGACTTGAATGAAAGAGCTCATCTCTACCCCAGATTTGGGCCTGGAAGGCCAGGGAGGGGTGGCAGATGGCCTGCAGACTAGCCAACCGCAGGAGAGGATGGAGCAGGAGAGGAGAAAGGAGGCAGAGAAGGAGGTGAGGGCAGGGCTGGGTGGGCTGGGTCACTGAACCCCACGCGCTGCTGACCCAGGAGCAGACCTGAGGCTAGCTGGCCACCCAGACTCAAGAGCCATTTCCTGCCATGTAGTGAGGAAGCAGCTGGTACTTCCTAGGTTAGCAGTCCCATCCCCCAGGTTTGGACACCCAGCCCTCTGAGAGCTCCTGCAGCCTTCTGTGGCCTAGGATCTGATGGGAATGGGGAAGGGGCCAATGAGACTGCAGCCCCAGGAATGAAGCCATCCTGTAGCCACCTCAGGTTTCTGATATCTCAGAATTTGTAATATACTATCCCATCGAGGCTCTGGGCAAACCACACTCAGCTCCTGGCCTTGAGCTCAGGGTCCCTGTGTTTAGGCTAGAACCAGTTAGAGGGGATGCCAGCAGGCCAAATGGGAGCCAGCATCTCTGGGTCTCAGCCTCGGCTCCATCCTGACCGACGGGTAGGATGGTGTAGCCTACTTCATCTCAGTTTTACTGCTTCTGGAAGAGGTCCATGTACCTTTTCACAGGGCAGGGTGTAGGGTAGTGTGAGTCACTTATCCAATGTATGGGTCAGGGTCCTGCCTAGATACAGAAGGCTCATTCTGATGGGGCAACTGAGAAGAGTGTAATGGTTATTTCAAAGGTCATGGGTAGTGAAGCATCCCAGGGACTCCCTAGCTGGAAGAGGGAGATATCCCCATGCCAGGCCTGGTTAAACTAGCTGGAGGAGAGAGCCCCTGACTGGAGCTGTGGTCTTGGGCAGACCCTGGCATGCAGCCACTGGCACCTTGGCCTTCTCCCTTCCCTCCCTCTTGTCTCCTGCCAGTTCCTCCTACTGGCCAAAGGCCAAAGCCATCTGGAGTCTTCAGGCTGATGGGTCTAGGTGATGCAGTCGTAAACCTGGCCACCAGGGAGGCAGAGCGGCTGGAGAGCGGGTCAGGGGGACACTGACCAGGGGGACACTCACAGGTAGACGAGCACAGACCTCAGGGCTCATCCATATGGGTTTAACTTGAGCTTCTGGGGTCAGCAAGAACCCCAGGGAATGAGAAAAATGAAAGTGTGCCTCTTGGGTCTTAGTCCCTCTGTTGGTGGGGCCGGAGGGTGTAAGTCGTGCATCCAGTAGTTTGTAGGACAGATGCATATCGAGGCCTTACTATGTGCCAGGAGGTGCGTGGGGTACTGTGAGTACAGATCAGCAAGGAGCCCAGGGGTGGCCATGCAGCGGATGGATCCCCTTGCTGTCTCTCAGTGGGAGAGAAGGGCTGCCAAACCCTGTGGGCACCCTGATGAAGCTGAAGGCCTGGAAGGGTCCAGGAGGAGTTTTCAAGAGAGAGCGACCCAGGATGGTGCAGGGAAGGAAAGGGTGCACTCTGGCCTTGGGTCTTGATTGCCATTTCCGTGGCTGCGAGGCCCCATCTGATGGTCCCTTGTGCCAAGCTGGGTTACCACTTTGGAGCCAGCCCCCCAAGACTAAAGATACCCCAAAACCTCTGGCTTCCTGATTTTCTCTGGCCAGTGTGTGTGCAGTGGCTGAGAGAGCAGGGTCTGGGCCAGACCACCTGGGTTCCTAGGCTCACTCTGCCACTCACTACTGTGTGACCGGGGCAAGTATTTAAGTAAAAATTCTGAATTCTACTTTCTTCATATGATTGTTTGCTGTTTTTATCATTATAAATAGCCCTGTGGAGTTAGCTCTTCTCTGGCTAATGAGCTGGAGTTCTGGGTAGCAGCCAGCTCTACATGACCCCATGAAGCTGTAGCCCCTCTCCTGGCCACACAGATCCAGCATTGAGAGTCAGGAGACCATGGTGCTGGTATCCCTGGTCACTGATGAGCTGTGTGTTCTGGGGCACATGGCTCTACCTTTCTGGGCTGAGGAAATGGGTTAGATCAAGGTTCAGCAAACTATGGCTGAATCTGGCCCACTGCCTATTTTTGTAAAGCAAGTTTAATTGCAGTGCAGCCACACTTTTTCATTTACGTCTTGGCTCTGATTGCTTTTGTGCTGGAGTAGTTGCCACAGACACTGTCTGACCCCCCAGGCCTAAAATGCTTACTATTGGTCCTTCACAAGAACGTGTCCTGTGTCAGAGGATCTTTGTAGCATCTCCTAGTTCCAGCAGGGCCTTGGGCATAGGCACAGATTCAGTGCTCTTGGAGTGAGTGTGGCCTGGGGCTTCTGGGAGTGGGTTGGGTGGTCTGGCCTGGTTGAGGAGGGCCTTTTGAGGAGGCCTTGCTGGCCTCTGCCCACATAGACTCCAGGTTTGGGCACTCATGTGGCTGGTTTTACATCACCCCGTGCCTAGTACCTGGACTAGACCTCCATGCCTGATCCTTTGCAGACACGCTGCCCCGCCCCTGTTCACTGTCCCCAGCACAGGCTCCAGGGGCCTGGCCCACCCACAGCTACACAGACTCTGGGTCCTCACTTTCTTGGGCTGGTTTCAGTGGATGCTCTGACTGTGGGCCAAGTATGGGGCTGTGCTCAGATCACATCCTCTTGGGGCAGGCAGGGACAGTGCCAGGTTTGGAGGTGGTAGGAACATCACCCATCCCGGTCATGTCCCTGGAGAAGCCAAAGCGCCCTGCTTCTTCTACCTTTTAGTGTTGTGTTAGCTTCGGGGCTGGCCTCAGAGGTGGTGGGGTGTCAGACCAGCACTGGCTGGGACCCTGGGTCCTGGCCTCCATCCAGTCATTTCCCTCTCCAGGCCTCAGAGTCCTCATCTGTAAAACAGTCTTTCTGGCACTTGTCCCCCCAGGCTATTCTGAGCACCAGGCGGGATAAGGATGTCAGTCTCTGGAGGAATGCTAAGTGTGTCAGGCGGGAGGGTGGGTGTGTCTTGGCATGGAAAGGGCTGGGTGTGATTCACCAGAGCAGGCCTGTTGCTAGGCCAGCAAGCCTGGCTCTGGATTCTGGGTGTGGGGCAGAGCCTTGTGAACCCTGGTGCTGTTCTGAATATGGGCAGGGCCAGGCTGGGCCTCTGGGTCCACTGTTAGAGCCCAGACTCTGGCAGTGCCAGGGGGGATCTAGAAAGTCCTGGAGGGGATGAGTAGCAGGGATGTTGAAGAAAAGAAGCAGCTAAAGGGGAAGGGGCTGGACGATGTGGAAGTAGAAGGTTCTAGTGATGGATGGGTGTCCTAACTCTAGGAGGGGACAGTCTGCGGTGGCCGTGTTGAGGCAGAGCTGGGGGCCATTTCTGGGAAGCTTCTCTGAGTGAGGCTCTGGTTAAGGGTTCTGTGGGGGCACTCACAGCTTCTCCAAGACACTGGGAAGAGGGTGGGCCTGGGAGGCAAGAATCCTAGGCGAAGTGCCCTTTGCATGCTTGGCTGTCCTTTTGGAGTTGTCCCCACAGGCTGGACTCTGGGGAGGCATGTTCCCTGACAGGTTGGGTGGGGTCCACATTGCCCTCCCCCAGATCTCAGCCTCTATCCCCTCGCTCCTTCCAGAGCCACGGAGCTATGTCGAGTCGGTGGTGCGGACAGCAGTGGCTGGGCCCCGATCTCAGGACCCTGAGCCTAAGAGCTACGGCACACCAGCTGCCCAGGCCTACGGCCATGAGATACCCCTGAGGAATGGGACCCTGGGCAGCTCCTTTGTCTCCCCCAGCCCCCTCTCCACCAGCAGCCCCATCCTCAGCGCTGACAGGTAAGTGGGGGGAAGGATGCCGGCTGGCACAGGATGGGTGAGGCCTCTTGGGTCTACTCAGAGTGTGGGCAGGCAGAAATCACGCCCAGCTTTCTGCACCTTGGAAGCCAGCTCATCAGGGCACACTGAGAGAGCGTCCTCTGAGTGCCACATCCCATGGGGAGCACAAGGATGAATAAGCTGTGATTCCTAGGGTACAGTCAATCCCACCATCCAGAACTGTGCTAGAGAATTGGGGCGTATGAGGGTGAACTTCCCCCAAGTTTAAAATCTAACGACAGTAATCATTATGCAGTGAGGGCTTCCCATGTGCCTTATATGATTATTTAATCCTCACAGCGATCCTCTAAGTTAGTACTAGTATTGTTCCCACTTTTTAGAAGAGTAAACTGAGGCACAGAGCAGTAAACTAGCTTGCTCAAGGTCCTGCAGCTAAATAGTATCAGAAATAGGATTCAGACCAAAGGCATCTGGTTCTGGAGCCCGTATCTCTATCCTCTCTGTGGCCCTGCATGACGGGGTCCGCCTGTCACAGGATGAGAATCAGAGGCACCCACCGCAGACTGTGAGTGCTTAGAGCTCAGGACAAGGGTCCATTATTTCTGGCTAGGGCCCCAGAGAGGATTTCTGGGGCTGGAGGTATCTGTGGTAAGGCCAGAAGGTGAGTAGGGTGTTGAGAGGTGAAGGAAGAGGGAGAGGGCATTCTAGAAGGACAGCACAGCCAAGACAGAGGGCAGGGGTGTGGATGTGCTGGGGCTGTGGGGCTGAAAGCGCACGGCTGAAGGTGCAGAGTTGGCTGTAAGGTGTGAGGAGGGAGGTCTTGGTAGATGGGTGGCTTGCGTTCTGAGTGGGTCAGAGAGAGGAAAGCCTGGAATTGGGCAGGGGGGCTCCAAAGAGGGAGGCCCAGGGGTGGGGGCATAGGCTTATGGCAGGGAGAGTTTAAGGGACATAGGAGAGGGAGCTCGAGATCACCTGGGGCAGGGTACAGGGTGCTAGGCATGCAAGGAGGATGGGGCTAGAACTTGCCCCCAGGAAGGGAGATGGCTGCTGAGCATCCCTTCCCAAGTCCACTCCCTTCCCTACTGTGTTCCTGCAGCAACCTGGAAACTCTCCAGCCACCCCATCACACCTTTAGGGCCAGCCCAGTTGCCCCTTGCTTGGCCCAGTGCAGTGTGCCTCTCCCAGGTCAGGACGGGGAGGCTGACTGAGCAGAGGTCGCATTCTTTTGCACCCTAAGAATGCTCAAACCTGGAGCCAAGCATGCACCCCAATCTACCTCGCCCCCTCCCCAGCTTCTTGACGGGGCAGACAGCCCCATTTCTCAGGAGGTCTGCCTCTGGGCAGAGGGTACATCCTTTAAAGAAAAAGGGATTTTCCTAACTTGCCCAGCCACCACTGCTGATGTTCAGGGAGCCTTGACATTAGGAAGTTTTCACTTTCTCAAATTCCTTCTGCTGTAGTGTTGGCGCTTTTCAGGGCCCAGGAAACTAATGTTTCTCCTCTGGGATTAATCTTCCAGAACTCCGTTTCAGTGTCCCCCACCCCGCTCAGCCTGGCATTCCTCCCATTCCTCAGAGTTCAGATGATTCCAGGAAGTGGTGGTCTGCTTTGGCCCCTTCTGGGCTTTGAGGTAGACTTTGTCCTTAACTGACCCCTGACCTTCTCCTTGCCTGTGGCTCTTGTCTGGCTGCCCACCTTACCTCTCACAGGGACTGGAGCTTACAGTTCCTTGAGACTCCTTCCAGTCTGTAGCACCAGGCTTTGGTCCATCATCTTATGTGAGGGAGATGTGCCCTGCCCCACCCCCACCCCCACGCCACCCCCAGGGGCTCCGGGTGCGGAGACTGCGTGCTACCTCCCTGCAGCTGCTGCTGATGTCAGAGCCTTTGTCTCTCCTGCCATATCCTCTAGGGACAGAAGTTTGGGTCTGGAAGGCATCAGGGTTATCTAACCCAGCCCCCTCATTTTCCACATGAGAAAGCTTTAACAAGCAGAATCCAGGCATCCCAACTCATAGGCCTATTGCATTGTACTGACATATGGACTTGCACCTAACTTCAGAAGAGATCCTTTGATTATGGCCATGTCCCTAGGTACAGTCCCCACTGAACCGAATTTTATCAGTCTTAAAATTGTGAGCAACCTCCCATCTAATCTAACTTCCCAATGGAGGAAATTCCTTCCATGGCATTCAGGACAAGAAGTTGGTTAGCTTCTGCTTAAATGCTCCTAGTTATGGGAATCTCATTACCATATAAGGCAGCTTGTTCCACTAGAAGCCAGATGTAACAGCTGCAAAACAGACCTTAGAATGAGCTGAAATTTCCTTCTGTGAGACTTCCTTGTCTTTGCTTTTTGGAGCTACCCAGGTCCTGTTCTAGTACTCTTAAATGTTTAGAGAGGATGATAGCACACCTGGGGAAACTGAGTCAAGGCAGGATACTCCCAGTAGGAACAGGAGCCAGAACAACATCCTCTCTGGTGTCCAGTTTCTGTGATGCTGGAGATGACAACAGGAGAGCCACCTTCAGTTTTGATAAGAGAGAGCTCCTCACTTTGACTTGTGGCTCAGCAGTCAGTGTGGTACATGGCTTTGGAAGCAGACCGCTGAGTTGAAACCCTGGTCTTATGAGCTGTGCAGTTATGAGCCTGTTGCTTAACCTCTCTGAGCCTCAGTCTCATTTGAGGATTCCACAGGGTGACGTACAAAAGCCCTGACATACAGCGCATGCCAGTGGAGCTCTTGTGATGAGTGGAGCGAGGGAGGGCTGAACGCTCTGAAAGCCTGTTCTTCATTAAATGCCATCTGCTGACCTCTCAACCTGCCCCCTCTCTCTCTAGCACTTCAGTGGGGAGTTTCCCATCAGGAGAGAGCAGCGACCAGGGCCCCCGGACACCTACCCAGCCTTTGTTGGATTCTGGCTTCCGCTCCGGCAGCCTGGGCCAGCCCAGTCCTTCGGCTCAGAGAAACTACCAGAGCTCTTCTCCTCTCCCTGCCATGGGTGGTAGTTACAGCAGCCCCGACTACTCACTTCAGCAGTTCAGCTCCCCGGAAAGCCAGGCCCGGCCTCAGTTCAGTGTGGCTGGTGTCCACGCAGTGCCTGGGAGCCCTCAGGCACGCCACAGGACAGTGGGCACCAACACGCCCCCTAGTCCTGGCTTTGGCCGCCGGGCCATCAACCCCGGCATGGCTGCCCCTGGCAGTCCCAGTCTGGGCCACCGCCAGCCGGTGGGTCCACCAGGAACTGGTTTCCATGGTAACATGGTCTCCACTCCCCAGAGCAGTATGGTGACCGCTCCAGGGAGCCCCAGCCTGGGCCGGCACGCTGGGGCTCACCAGGTCTCAGGCCTCCACAGCAATGTGGCCACCACTCCAGGGAGCCCCAGCCTGGGCCGGCACCCTGGGGCCCACCAAGGCAACCTGGCCTCTGGTCTCCATGGCAGTGCAATAGCAAGCCCCGGAAGCCCCAGCACGGGCCGTCACCTGGGGGGGTCAGGAGCGGGGGTTCCTGGCAGCCCCAGCTTAGACCGGCATGTGCCCTACGGTGGCTATTCTACTCCTGAAGACCGGAGACCCACGCTGTCCAGGCAGAGCAGTGCCTCTGGCTACCAGGCTCCTTCCACGCCCTCTTTCCCTGTGTCCCCTGCCTACTACCCCAGCCTGAGCAGCCCCGCCACCTCCCCGTCTCCGGATTCAGCAGCCTTCCGGCAAGGGAGCCCAACACCAGCCTTGCCAGAGAAGCGGAGGATGTCCGTGGGAGACCGAGTGGGCAGCCTCCCCAACTACGCCACCATCAATGGGAAGTTGTCCTCCTCGCCTGTTGCCAGCGGCATGTCCAGTCCCAGCGGGGGCAGCACTGTGTCCTTCTCTCACACTCTGCCCGACTTCTCCAAGTACTCCATGCCAGGTGGGCCTGGTTTCCACTTCCACCTTTCCTGCTGACAGATAAGTCCACCAGTTTACACATCTGCCCCAGTCTCTGTTCTGACAGCTCCTTGGCAGACAACCTTGGACGAATCACTGACTTCTTGGCCTCAGTTTTCTTATCTGTATAATGGGTTCTGGAGGTGCCCTCAAAGTAAATGTGCTATGGTTGTGGTAGCTGTGGTGGCAGTGGTGATGACCACAGTAATGAAAATAATAATGATGGCATTGCTGTTAAGATTATCATCATTGTCGTCACCGTTATCATTTGTTGAGCACATGCTATGTGCCAGGATTGGCCAACTGCTGTCTCCTAACCCTCATGACCACCTAGCAAAGTAGGTATTATTATCCCCATTTTACACAGGAGCAAACAGCCTGAGAGGATTAGTCACTTGTCCAGGATTATACAGTTAATCAATGGCTTCCAATCCAAGCCCACAGTACCCTGACACTAGTGCTTGCAAAGTGTTATGGGAATTGTCTTACCATGTTTCCATATCTGGAGAGCTACTGTGATTTAGCATAACGCAGGGAGCATGCCTTCCAAACCGGGACCTTCCGCCATCCCGCAGCACTTTGTTTACACCTTGTGATCCCTCCTGTGCACACGTCACTGGTAACAGATCCAGCAGCCATATGTGATCTGGGCCAAGGCCCGGGGTGGGCATTTTCACTGGAGTCTGCTGTCTACTGACCAGGCTTCACTGAAGCCTGTGCAGGTTTGCACACTCATCACCAGACCTTGGGAGTTTTGCCTCTACTTGGAGGGCTCATTATATATAAACAGAGGTCAAGGCTGCTGCTGATCTGCAGCTTCTCAGCCATTCCTGGAACCTAAGTGTTTACAGAGGGGCCCTGGATCCCTGGGGCATTCAAGGAAGATTTAGGGTGTTTCAGGCAGCCTGGGATGGGCTCCAGCTGCCCAGCAACTCAGACTGTCACTCCTAGGTCCTGCCCTGAACCTGCCATTGACAGCAGGGGCACCTACAGTGACCTTGCACACCCCTGCTTCCTGCTGCCCACCAGAGACATCTGGTTCCCAGACCCTCTTCTTGGAGGATGCAGGACTTCTAGTAGTTGGGGCATTTCCTGTTTCCCACCATCTTCCCTGCTTAAAATAGCCACTGGAGTCAACACAGGAAGGCACGTGGGGCTGCAGCCGCCTCTGACAGCTCATTAGGCAGGCCCCGGCAGCAGCAGGGCCCAGGGCTTCTGAGCAGAGAATGGCAGTTTATAGCAGTTGCAGAGCCCATGGGCCCAGCTCTGTGCACAGCTGCCAGGAAAGGGAGCTGACCTACCCCTCGCTGTCCTCCAGAGACCGATCCCAAAGCCCCAAAGAGCATAAATGACCAGTTGAAATTCTCCGGTCTGTGCCCTGAACTTTACGGTATAGTGCAGCTCCTTCTCTTCTGAAAAAAGGAGAGGAAACACACAGAATCGAAATATTCCTTTTTCCTTCTTCCCCCGTGCCCCTTTTGTTTCCTTTGGCAGCAAAAGTTAAAGGAAAAGCCTGGAGAGTGAGGCTGCACAGCCTAATACCCAGAGAAGGAGATAAGACATAGCTGGTACTGACTTGGTTGCTGTGTCCTCTTACCTGGGAAGGTCTTACAGGAGCCTTTCTGTTACCCGTCTGTGCAACTTTGGCAGGTCATACCCCCTCTTTGAACTTCACTTTCCTCCTTCTATAAAGTTAAGCAGTTGAGGACCCAATGTTCTATGAAAGCACCTCGGTTTGCAGAGGGTCTGGGTGGTGGGATCGTTGGCCAGAGAAGTGGGCTACGTGACACAGTGATCTCTAAATCCTAGACTTAATACTAGTACTAAATACTAAATCTCATCCTCTATTTGTCCCAGGGTGGAAGTGATTTTTTTGCAATGCAGAACATGGGCTTTGTAAATAGAAAAGCATCTTTCTGCCCTCATTCTCAAGGGTGTTGTAATAAAGTTGGGAAATACACCTGTTGAGAATGAGGCTAGAAGGTGGGGTGCCTTTGACTGTGGGAGAGAAACTGCAGGAAGGGTTTAGTCTGAGTCTTCTGAGAAAGGGGAGATGGGGTGGAGGAACGGCTGCTTGTGGCTCAGGGAGAACGCTGTGGCAGGGTCTTCAGTGGGGGAGCAGCTCCATGGGCCCCAGTGGAGGGCAGGAGATGGGAAGGTGGGGAAAGCTGCTTGTGTGCCTTCGAGCAACGCTCTGATGATGTTTGAGGAGACTGGCTTTCTGTGTTAGTGTCCTAGGACAGCTTATATAACAAACTTATTCTGTCCCAGCAATGGAGGCCAGAAGTCCAAAATCAAGGTGTTGGCAAGGTTGGTCCCTTCTGGAGGCTCTGAGGGAACATCTGCTCCAGGCTGTTCTTTTAGCTTCTCGTGGTTGCTGGCAGCCCTTGGCATCCCTTGGTTTGTGGACACATCACCCCAGTTACTACCCCCATCTTTGCATATCACTCTCCCCATATGTCTCTCTGTCTCCTTCTCTCCTCTGGTAAGGGCACCAGTCATACTGGATTGGGACCCACTCTCATCTAGCGCGACCTCATCCTAACCTGATGATATCTGCAAAGGCCCCATTCCCAAACAAGGTCACATTCCCAGGTACCCAGGATTAGGACTCCATCATTAGTTTTCCCTTTCTGGGGGACACGATTTAACCCACATACCTTCTTTCCCTCTCCTCCTTTAGACAACAGCCCTGAGACACGGGCTAAAGTGAAGTTTGTCCAGGACACTTCCAAGTATTGGTACAAGCCTGAGATCTCCAGAGAGCAGGGTGAGTGCTGGGTGGCACTGAAGGCCCTGTGGCCCAGCAGAGGTCACAGCTGGCTGCTGACCCGTGTCTTGCCTGGGCAAGAAATATAAGCAGACTGGTGGTGGTCACAGAGGGGGGCTGGGATCAAGGTCAGATGGGGAGGTATTGGGGCACACAAGCAGTGGCTGTAGACCTCTGACTCATCCTTACCAGCAGTAAAGTAAAAGGCTGGCTAAGATAATAGGAAACTGTAGGTGTCCACCTGCATCATGTGAGAGCATTTTGTACATTTTACAGAAAAAACAAAGTTGGGATTGTGGGCCTGGAGATGAGAGTCACTGTAGGCTCCCAGGAAAGGTCCGTGTGGATGTAGAAGGGGTATGGTGACTGTAGTGTGTTTAAGTAAAAACAGTTTTATTGCAGCACAGCCGTATTTATTCATTTACGTACTGTCTGTGGCTGCTTTTGTTCTGCAGTGGCAGAGTTGACAGTGGCAGTAGAGACTACATGGACTGCAAAGCCTGAAATATTTACCATCTGGTAATTTACAGAAAAAGTTGGCCAACTCTAGTATATAGGAGGGCCCTTAGGGGGGTTTCACTTCTGACTTGCAAGAATCTCATTTCGTCTAAGAAAGGATGAGTTAGTTCCCTAGGCCTGATGAGATGTAAGTAAATCAGTGTCATCATTTCTTATTTGTCTCTCCTCTCCTCATCTATTCCCAATCCAGCCATTGCACTCCTAAAGGACCAGGAGCCAGGGTCCTTCATCATCCGTGACAGCCACTCCTTTCGAGGAGCGTACGGGCTGGCCATGAAGGTGTCTTCTCCTCCTCCGACCATCATGCAGCAGAATAAAAAAGGTAACACTTGTCTTCCCAAGTGGGGCCTCAGGACCCGGTGATCCAATCTGTATAGTTTCTGTAGACCCTGGGGGGCTAGAAGGTTCTCTGATTCTCCAGGGAGCTGTCCCTGCCAAGTTAGACTCTTCAGAAGAGTAATGCTTGGGCTTGGTGATGGTTGGAGTCAGAGAACAGAAACAAGATTGCTGGGACTCCTGACTGTGTTTCCTAGAGGGGCGATGGGGCGGCTGTCTCTCCTGTCCAGCGTTCTGGCCACCTTATCTCTACAAGCCTTTTCCCCATCACACCACAGACACAGGAGAAGTGATAAGGTGCTGCTGGGAGGTGCAGAGGGTGCTGCGAGGGGTGATGATCTTCATTTCTTTCTCTTCATCCCAGGGGACATGACCCATGAGCTGGTGAGGCATTTCCTGATAGAGACGGGCCCCAGAGGAGTCAAGCTCAAGGGATGCCCCAATGAGCCGAACTTTGGTGAGCTGCCCCCCCACCTCCATCTCCACAGGCTGCTCCATGGTCTCAGGCCTGTCCAGCTTCCACCACTGCAGGTCCTCCAGTCCCCCTTGCCGTAGGCGCAGCAGAGAAAATGAACGGTGGCTTTCCTTCCTCTGTGCTGTGGCTGCTTCCCTCTCTGCCACATTCCTTTCTATATTTGTCCTGCCCCACCGAGACACATTATCATCATCTTTTGAATAACAACTATAACAATCGCTGCCTTTACTGTCCACCTACTGTGTGAAAGTCACTGTCAAGGTACCTTAGAGTACTTCTGGTCTCACTACAGTCCTGCATGGCAGGTCTTTTATGTGGGAGGAAACTCACAGAAGTTAGATTTACCCAAGAACACACAGTTGATAAGTGACTGAGCTGGGATTTAATCCCACGATTCCCCTACATTTTAGCTGCACTGTCCCGAGAGGGGCCCTAGCAGCTGGAGGGACTTAGCACAGATGTTGGGAGGCAGTTTCTATCAAGGAAAGTTGTTAGGTGACCGTGTAACTGCTAGAATGAGCCCTTGAAATCTTATCCTGTGGATCTTGCTAACAAAGAGCAAGTACATTTCCAGCTTTGTTGGCGTGATGAAGGAGAGGTAATAAGCAAGCAGAAGGTTATGGCTTGGGCAGGGTCTGGCTGCCCTCAGAAGTGCTGCCACTGACGTTCTGTGTCCCTCCCTGCAGGGTCGCTCTCAGCCCTGGTCTACCAGCACTCCGTCATCCCACTGGCTCTGCCCTGTAAGCTGGTCATTCCAAACCGAGGTAGGAACATGAGACTCCTTACTCTCATGCGTGTCCTTCTGCTGGCCTCTTTTGTGTCTCAGCCCTGCCAACTGCCCCAGAACATGGGCCAGGGCTGGAGGGCACAGGTCATTTTGCCAGTCTGGGGAAACTGAAAACCACTCTCCTTTTAAACAATTCTTCTATTAGAAAAGAAAGAAAAGTTCATTAAATCACTTAACTCCAGGAATACACATAGCTGGCTTGCCAAATTCTCTGGAGGCTTTAAGAAATTAATACTTGAGTCTTTAGAATAAGCCTCATCCTATAGGGGGCCGTAGAAGTAGGAGATGGTCGCTGCGAGGACCGTGTCTGGAGCGTGAGATGGCGTCAGTGGGCAGGGCCCAGAGAATGGGCAAAGGAGTTTAGGGCCTGGGGGCATCCAGGTGGGGGAGGCTGGTTTGAATGGAGAGGAGAGAGAACATTGCCAGGGACCTCTTGGATGAAGAGGTGGCTGGACTCTGCCTGCGTGGGAAGGAAAGGGGGGGCCAAGATATCCTTGTGGTTTCTTGTCTGTGTGTCTGTGAGTGTGTTTCCTGACTGGGGACATTGAGTTGACAGGGAACAGCCAGCCCTCTTTTGCTTTTGGGAAGTGTGAATGGAGCCAAAGAGCCTTTGGACATCTGGTGAAAATCGAGTGAGACACCAGGACTGGTGAAGGAGATTTTAGGTCTCTCAGAGAGGTGTCTCAGCCGTGGAGGATGGTGCATGGACACCCAAGACTCTTCACGGCACAAACTTCTATTACTCAGCCCCGAGTCCACAGGGCCTGCACGAGGGGCACACGCTTAGTCCTGTTTGAAGTCTAGGAACCAGAAGCTGGGTGACTTCTCCCCAGCCTCTCTGTTCAATAAGGAGATATTCAGAAGTGTTTCTGGGATTTCTTCACCCCTTTTGGAGCTCCTGGGGCTATGTCCACACATAAAACCTCCAATATTATCTGACAATTTCTATGTACTCAATTCAATTCGCTGAATTATTAATGATAATTGACTGACATTATTAGCTTAAAACTTCAGATGCAACTTAGATAGCATTATTAACCACACAATTTAGACACTAATTAAATCATATTTCTATCAAATTTGCAAAAGTAGTTCAGCAATTACAGAACTGTTTGATGTTCCCATTGTATGACTAGCGGTTCTCAAAGTCTCACTGCCAGACCAGGAGCATCAGCGTCCTTGGGAACTTGTAAAGACTGCAAATATTTCCAAGCCCTGTCTGATCAGAAACCCTGGGTGGAGACCAGCAATCTGTTTTAACAAGTCTGGACATCAAAGTCTGGGAAACACTGGTAGAAAAAATACTCAATCCTTATTAATATTGAAATTAGAGTTGTGCTGCATTAATGGTTTAATGAATTAGGCCATTTATTGATAAGTGGAAAACAGCAACATCGGTTGCCACTTGAGGGTTTGCTTTACGCCAAGCGCTGGGCAACACTACACATGGAGTATCCGCCAAACCCAGCCAAGAGGGGACTGTCAGCATTACCTCTTTTTATAGATACTTGGCAGGTCCTGGGCCGAGGGTCTGAGCCTAGCTCTGTTGGACTCCAGAGCTCTCACCCAGGGTCCTGAATACTCAGAGAAACCATGGAATATTCAAAAGGGACACACGTGCCGACTGCCAGGCCTGTTATGAAAAGCAGTATCTGTTGCACAGAGAATTTGCAGAGCTCACCTGAGGCCCAGCCAAACTCGTGCTTCTTTCCAGCTCTAGATTTTAATTAGCAGCTGAATTAAATTTTTGTTTCAGACCCCACAGATGAGTCAAAAGATAGCTCAGGCCCTGCCAACTCAACCACCGACCTGCTGAAACAAGGGGCAGGTGAGTGGCTGCCCCAGATTGGAACCCCACCCAAGCCTTCCTTCCTCCCTGCCTGTCCCCTCCTGCAGACACAGGCAGATGTTTCTTCCCAATCCAAATGTCTCTGGGCCGCCCACATTTCTGTGTGTAGATGCCTTGGCCTGGGCTGGTAAAAAATTCATCTGCTACCTGAAGAGTTGACCTGGGGTATCATCCCCACCCACCCAGCCCCCATGACTGCTCTTTGGGTGGGTTTCTTCCAGCCTGCAATGTGCTCTTCGTCAACTCTGTGGACATGGAGTCACTCACTGGGCCCCAGGCCATCTCCAAAGCCACTTCTGAGACGTTGGCTGCTGACCCCACACCAGCTGCCACCATTGTTCATTTCAAAGTTTCTGCCCAGGGAATTACACTGACTGACAACCAGAGAAAGTAAGGCTCTTCTACCTGCTTCTGTGTTGGGCTCTCCCCCTGTGACCTATCCATCCATCACTTACCCACCCACTTACCAATTGATTCATTCCTTGCATACACATCTACCTACTGATCTCCTACCTATCTGGCCATCCATCCATCCATCCATCCATGCATCCGTCCTTCTGCAAACATGCCTGCATTGGCATACACACATAAACTGGCATACAGCTTTAATCAGCTACAAATGCAACTGGTTGAAGTGCCTGCTCTGCAGAGAAGAGCTCTTCCTTGCAGGCTCTCACCCCAGCCCTTTTCCTTCCTTCTTCAGGGTCCCGCATTTCTCATCACTAATTCCAATTTCTTCCTTCTTTTCCTAGCCTATAGTATTTGGGACATGTTTCTATGACACATCTATCTGTCCCTGTGCTTCACTTATGTCCCCAGTCTGAGCAACCCAGGCTGTCTTGTCACAAGGGAGAGGTTGTGTGAACCCACGGCAGCCACAGATGGTGGCCTGACTTGTCGGTGGCAGGTGGGAAAGAGTGGTCACTTCAGCACTCATTGTGTTTATCCAATGTCTGTGCCCCAGGCTCTTCTTCAGACGGCACTACCCCCTCAACACTGTCACCTTCTGTGACCTGGATCCCCAGGAGAGAAAGTAAGTCTGTTGTAGACACCTTCTCTGCCACCCATCTCTAGAACACTGAAGTATGTGTGTGTGTGTGTGTGTGTGTGTGTGTGTGTGTGTGTGTGTGTATGCATGTATTTGGTTCAACCTGATAATCTGTCTGTGTCTGTGGGGCTGTGAGTAATTGTGTTGGGTGTCTTTTTGAGTTCCTCCCATCTCAAATGTGGGGCCCCTCCCAGGGCCTCCCATGCCCACTTCCACCCCCTCTGCCATGTCCTGACCTTAAATCTGCTTCTCGTCTTCACACTGGGGAAGACTCCTTGGGAGGCAGGCCACAGTGTTCTCTCCACCTTGAATGCCCCCCACTGTGTGATTTTTGGAGGCTCCCACCCCCTGGAATGGGGGCCCCTTCACTTTGCCCCAGATGGTCTGGGCACACACAGGGCTGGGCTCTGAGGAGAAGGAACAGTAGTTTGCGCTGACGTTTCTCTCTCTCCACAGGTGGATGAAGATGGAAGGAGGTGCCCCTGCCAAGTAAGTGTGGCTGCTCCCCTGCCCCAGCTGGCTGGTCTTTGTGTTCCTAGGGGAGGGTTAGCAAGGGCAGGTTTAGGATCTGGGACCAAGGGCTGGCAAAGGGCAGCAAGGGCCTCTGTGCTGTGGTCACTTAGCTTCAGGAAAATGCTTGACCAGGCAGCCAGGCCTTTGTTGCCCTTTTCTGCCTCAAGGCCAAAGGCTCAGCCTCCAGTCTTGCCACCTCCCCTGTCCTAGGACCACCAGGAACCTGAGGAAGTGGACGGGAAGCTGAGAGTTCACTGGAGGTGGTGGCAGTGGGGCAGGAGATGTTGAATGATCTTTTCTGCCCAAATCCTGGCTTCCCTGATGCTTGCCCTTTGGGTAGGCTTCCGTGACTCTTGTGGCTGGGCTAGACTTTCTCATCGCAGTGTGGGAACCCAGGAAGTCTGAAGTCCGGGGATGGCCCTAGGACCCTTTGGCTGAGTCTTTCATCCATTCAGCATGTCCTACATGCCTCCAGGGAGCTCAGCCCTGGAGTATTCAGATGATGACCAGGAGCCTGACTCTGCCCTCAGGAGGCCTGATGTTGGCATAATGGATGAGACAAGTGTATAAACAACACGAACATGCTTCAGTGATTTTCAAACTATGTTCCAAGGGACCCTGGGACCCTCAGGTTGCAACTGAACTATTACTATTGCAGTTATTTGTCAGGCTGAATCGGGGTTTTCTCAGTATCATAAACTGAAACAAAGTGCAGCTGACCCTTGAACAACCCAGGGGTTAAAGGCACCAAGCCCCTGTTCCATTGAAAATCCATGTATAACTTTGACTCCCTGAAAACTTAACAGCTGATAACCTGTTGTTGACTAGAAGCCTTACCAATAACATAAGCAGTTGATTAACATACATTTTGTATGTTATATGTATTATCTACTATCTTCTTATAATAATAAGCTAGGGAAAAGAACATGTTTTCTTTAAATTGTTGCAAATCTCCAAAAAATTTTCCAATGTATTTATTGAAAAAAATCCACATGTAAGTGGATTTGTGCAGTTCAAACCAGTGTTCTTCAAGGGTCAGCTGTACAGGAATAAACTGGGCACTGAAGCTAACATATGATCATCACTATAAGTCCACATTTCACTTTGTCAGGTTCATCCAAACAGCCCCGTTTTTCTCACTGATTGACTTTATAATAGGTAAATGTTAAGCTGTTGAATTGAACCATTTATAGCGATAAACTGCTTTTGCCTTTATATAATCAGACTTCATGTAAGATAGGAAAGGAAAGTTAGTGAAAACCTGAAAACCGCAGCTGAATGAGACACATGGAGACAGTATGACCCACACATCTGTGGGTGTAATAAAAGAGAAGGCATCAAGGCAGGGAGAGACTTGGGAAGGTTTTGGGAAAGAACTTAGACTTATAATTATAATTTTAAAATGGGAATTAAAAGACAGTACCGTTTGGACAGGTAGAAATGGGTGTGGGGGTAGGAGAGGGACAATTTCAAGGGGATGGGGATGATTGCAGGTGCAACCACCAGTCTGCAAGCTCCCTGATGTCACGTGAGTGAGTGGCCCAGTTGGAAGAAGGTCCTGGGTGACCAGTGACCTCCAAGCTTGTCTTGCAACCACCACAGCCTTCTTGTGGGTTCATAGGGTCGTTAGGGCCTCTGCGTCCCTGACCCTGGCCAGGCAGGCCAGAGCTTCATGCTCACACACCCCCAGACCCTGCAAGGCAGGGATGGGTCAGGGGTAGAAGTGGGCTGCTCCCAGGCCTGAAAATCTTTCTCCTCATTCAGGCGCTGGTTTTGTACTGAGCTTCCTGCTGACAGGGCCTTGTTGGGCAGGGCAGAGGCCAGGGAGACTGGGCTGGGGGCCCAGACTAAGGTGAAGCGCAAAAGGCGCCTCAGGCCCCAAATTTAAGGAAGCACTCACTCTCAGGTTCTCACAGGTGCTGCGCCTTGGCCTGGAGGCTGGGTTTCCTACCTAGATCCACTCTCCTAAACAGAAAAAGTACTTAGCGATTGTTGACCAGGCCCTGGGAACCAGGGAGCTGAAATAAACAGCAGGCAGGATGGATGGGCTCTGTTTAGGCTGGCGGGGTTGGCTGGCTCTCCAGGCTGGCAAACCCAGGCAGCCGAGGTTGGTGCCCTGTCATGCCGGCAGCTGGGAGCCACTCCCTGCCTGGGCCCTGACCACCCCCCATGCGCCAAAGGGCCAGAGAAGCCTGGAAAGGGGGCTCTGAGGGCTGGTCCATGGATCCAGGCTCCCCCACTGCTTGCAGAGACCATACCCAGACCTCTGTCCCATTTGTTCCCAGCCCCTGAAACAAAGTTGGGGAGAGCAGAGCTGGAGGGAGTCCAGTGGATGTGTGCACACGTGTGTGTGTACATGCATGTGTGTGTGAGATGGCAAGTTGGACCCAACTTTGCTAATCTTAGCTGTTGTGGTCCAGTCTTAGGGAGAAGGGGTTTCCATTGGCATGCCCAGCTGTCCTGATTTCCCCATCTCGCTCTAATTAGCAACGTTCCGGCTGGGAGGGGACCTGAGCTCACATTCTGTTCTCTGCTTGCATATTTTTAACTCTGTTTTGCACAGTGAGAGTGCCAGGTCATTCCAGACTTGGTGCAGGGAGTGGGGGTTGGAAGGACAGGTGTGGGGACCCCGTTCCCCACCTATTCTCTTGAGCCCAGTGTTAGAGGAGCTGGTGACCCCTTGTCCTTCTGTCTCCCTGACCCTCTCCTGGTATCTGAGGAGGCCAAGCCCTTGGACTGCAGACTTACCCACGTGCGTGTGTAAGCAGTCGGGTAGGGGTGGGGCTGGGATGGACTTAGAGAAGCTCAGCTAGGAATGTCCCTGTTTTATTTTTGGTCTCATCCCCACCTTTTGCTGTCCAGTCTTGTCATTTGCCTCCAGCTCTTCCTCCCCCTTGCCCCCCACCAAAGGGGAATTTCTGCTTACCCCTAAACAAGTGGCTCTGTCATCTCCAGGACTTGGCTTTCTTGTCAGTGGAAGAGAGAGAGGATTCCCTCTTATGTTCCACACCGATCCCCACACTTGGGGAGTTGTGGAAAGATGGGGAGCAAGGTCAGCCTGAACATAGGCTTGCTCACCCGGGCAGCTCTCAAGGCCCGGGGTTCCTCCTGCCCACCCTCACACCTGTTCCCCCTCCCCTGCCCCTGCAGGCTCTTCGGCTTTGTGGCCCGGAAGCAGGGCAGCACCACAGACAATGCCTGCCACCTCTTTGCAGAGCTTGACCCCAGCCAGCCTGCCTCCGCCATTGTCAACTTCGTCTCCAAGGTCATGCTGAGTGCGGGCCAGAAGAGATGAACTCCAGCCATTGCCCGGGGCCACGGCAGTGGGGACGGGGCCTGTGGGGAGGGGACCCCAGAATCCTGACCACCCTTGAATCCAGAAGGAGGACTTTGGGCCAATTTTGGAGAAGGAGAGAAGAAAGTGCAACATGGGGAGAGGGAAGTGAATAGCAGAGGGGAGGGGGAGCGAGAGAGAAAGGAAGGAAGGAAGAGGTGGGAGAGAGTGGCTTGGATTTCCCTGGGTGGGTGGATGTTGCGAGATCCCCGAGCCTCTAAGACCAACCAGGCCCACCCAACTCCCCCTCCACCCTCCAAGAGGGTGGAGCTCCTCAAAGGAGATAGACCCAACCTCCCTCCTTAGGGATCCATATTTTTGGTGGGGGTGGAAAAGTTCTGTTTCCCTAACCTAACTGCTTTGCAAGGAAACCAAATGGAGAGAATCTGTTTCAGCCGCCTCTAGGGTAGATTGCCTAACCAAATAGAGCCGACATGGGACATCGAGGGGCAGAACTTCTGTTTTGGGATGTATCTCAGAGCTGAGGCACCCCAGGTTTTGTCATTCTGCCTCTAATGTGTAGTTTGTGTGTGTGTATGTGGGGTGTGTATATATGAATGTACCCACATCCTCACACATTGGTTTCTATTTGCCTCTCAGCTAGAATTATAAACAGGGATACTTGTTTGTACCCCATGTGTTGGCATACACATGTGCATACTGCCCACAGAGGTTTTGAGTTAGGTGTGAAGGGCAGAAGGGAGGGGACATAAAGCCTTTTACCCAGGAGCACCCAAGATTATGGGCAACAGACTCTGGTGGGCCTGGCGTCTCCCCTGGGTGCCGCCAACCACTTCTCAGTAAAGGACCTGCTGCAAGCATGGGGCTGGCCAGCCTGCAGCATCGCCCTAGGCTCTGCCTTAGCCTGGGGCGGAGCAGGGCTGGGGGAGGTGGCGGCTTGGGTCCACAGCCCTGAGGAAGAGAGCCCTCAGGGAGGGTGGCCATTGAGCTCTGGGCGTCACTCCTGCCAGCTTCCTGCCTTGGCCCGTTCTTGACCTTCACGCTCCAGACCAGCCTTATCTCAGACTTGCCTATCTGCATGATGCCTTTGGGTGCTGGGGATCGAGCCTTCCCACCTCAGCCCTGCCCTGGTCTGTCCTGCAGGGTCCCCTTGGTGGGGCTTGTCCCCCTTACTTGCATAAGCCCTGCCCAGCGAGGCCCAGGGGAGATGCCTTAGCCCTTGTGCTCCCCTCTGCAGCTGTTTCGGGGACTGGCCTGTTGCTGGGCTGCGCAGGCTGTCCGCAGCAGAGCTCGGGGCTGCTCCCTCGTGCCCCACACGACCTGCCCATGACACCAAAGCCTTGCTGCCCCTCTTCCTGCCTTGTTTCCCCAGCGAGGCCAAGCTGCCCGCGGGGCGGAGGGCAGAAGGCACCTGTTCAGGCCAAAGAGCTGAGAGTCTGCTTCAGCAACTAGGAAAACCCCTGACCTCCACCCAAGGACCCGAAACTGGGATGGAAAGTTCACCAAGACTCCATTCTGGAGTGGCTTCTTAAGCCTATGGGGTCCCTTAGGGAGAGGCTTGTACTGACATATAAATATATATAATATATATGTGAGACATACTGACAGAATCTGTAAGCTAATAAAATAAGAGAAAAGGTAAAAAAAAAAAAAAAGAATAGGTAAATTGACAAGAAGTATTTATTGTTTCCTTATATTGCTTTATTGCCTCCCTTTAATTCCCATCCCTTTTTATACGTACACGTGAAGTCTGAAATGTAGGGAACCTTTCTTTATCCTTGGAGCAATGGGGGGTCTCGTTGCCCTGGCCTCGGTCTTCCCTAGACCCTGTCTGGGGCCCGAGAGGTGTGCGTGTGCATGCTCCCTGCTTTCGGCCCCCTCCTTCCCTGGCAAGCCTGGGGGCCCAGCCATCAGCGCCCATACAGGAGAGGGGAGCTGGCCCCTCACCACGGGCCAGAGCGAGCGTGGGAGCCTGCAGGGGACATGGGTGTATGTGGCGCACGTGGGTATATTTTCTCCTCCAAGAAGCTGTATCTGTGTGGACATTCTGTGTCAGGGAGTTGGAGAGAAGGGTGTCTGAAGAAGGCAGGGCCACCCCCTGTGTTCCAGAGATTGAAACCTTGTGCTCAGTAACTGAGATTCCTCCAAAGTGCTCTTCCTTCTGAGGCGTTCAAGCCAGAGCCCGGATTCCCCTCTCCTCCTTCGCTGTCTACCCCGACCCTCTTCCCAGAGAGGAGACATCCCGCCCGCTTCCTTTGTAAATATCTTCCTCTCCCACTGGTTGTGGCCCAGAGACTCTCCTCCTGGTGTGGATATCCTCTCCGCCCTTGAGGCCGGGTGGAGTGTCAGACCCTTTGGCCTCCAGACTTGGGCCCGAGTCTGGGGTCAGTCTTCACGTGAGCTTTCCCACCACGCCCAGCAGCCCCCCTCCCAGGCGTGGCCAGCCTACCCCTCTTAGGCCTGAGCCATGTGTGAGCCTGGGAAGGCCCCACGGATGCTGGCAAGCTGATCTGTTCACTGCTGGGCGCTCCCTGGGAGGATTTGGTTTCTGGAGTTTGGCCTTTCCAGAAGCATGAGGGGAAGGGGTGCCCAGTTTTCACAGCAGCCCCACCTTTGGGACAGACACTGGTTGGGAAGACACCGTAGCCTCCCATGTTTCACAGGTTAGGACCATGCACTTATGTGCACGCAAACACACACACACACACACACACACGGCACTGCAGTATATTCTTGCCAAAGATTTCCTTTAAAAAAAAGCACTTTTAATAATCACTGTTATTATTGTGTAAGTGTTTTATCCTTTTCTCTCCTCCCCCAACCTTTTTTGCCGTGGCTGATTGCTGAACCTGCTTGTCGGCCAGGAGAGCGCTGTCTGGTCTTGACAACAGGCCGGTGGGGAGGGTCTGGGAGTAGCTGGCCAGGAAGAACCAACAGGAGAGGCACGGGCAGTCACCGAGCAGCCCTGTGGACCAGAGAGGCTCAGGCTCAGCCCCAGGCCCAGCCTGCCTCCCTCTGTCCAGCCAGGCCTCTGAGGCGGGCCCGGGGCCTTGCTGCGCTGGCCGGTATGGCGTCTGGAGGGAAGAGGGCAGGGAAGTGACACTCTCTGATTCAGCAGGGAAAGAGGCCCAGTGAGGTCCATGTGGCTCTCCCCTTGGGACTCGATGGGAGAACTGAGCCTGGGAACAATGGGGTGGTGACCCCAGAGGGGAAATAGGAAGGAAGTGAGCTGTTTGATCGCCTCCAGGGGTGACGAGAATGCCGCTGCCCTGTGATCTCCGTGTTCTGGCTCCCTTATCTAGCCAGGTGTTTGAGGGACAGATACATTGTGTTCTAGGTTTAGGAAAGGCCTTTTGACCCCTATCATCATCAGAGCCTGCCCCACAAGCTCTGAAAACTTGTGGACTGCCAGCAGTTCATCTCCCCTGGGTTTTGAGGAATCCCCGGGTGTGTCAGAGGGCAGGATAAGGCTGGGGGTGTCAAGTGGCTGTGTTACTGTTACAGGGAGCCGCTGGCTGGACACAGATGAGCCTTATAAAGGGGCAGCTGGGAGAGAGCAGGGCAGGGCATTCCTCTGCCCCACTCTGATTGTCCCGAGCCAAGGTTGGGTGGGCCCCTCACTCTGTCCAGGGGGCTGGAGGTGGAGGGCTGTGTAAGTGGAACATCATTTATGCCCTGGCTGCATGTCCACCACCTTTGCCTCCCAGGTCTTCTCCCCTTCTTTGGATTTTCCCAGCTTCAGGATCTGGGGAGGTCCAGTGGGCCAGTGTCCCCTCCAAGGGCTGCCTCCTGCCCCACACCTCCCCGCACTCAAGGTCCTCGAAGAGATCACAGTCTGGAAGCCACTCTTCACCCAGGTCCTTCACCCAAGGCCGGGCCCCGGAATCCTGAGACTGGAGTCCTCTCACCAGTAGTGACACAGGACGTGTGTGCGTTCGTGTGTGCAAGTATGGGTGTATGTGCATGAATATTTTGCTCGTCTCTTTAGGGATTGTGGGAGTGGGGGTCAAAGGTGGTGGGCAATGGGATGTCAAGTTCAATATCACCCAGCAGTGAAAGGAACTAGGAGGCGGGGCCTATGGGGCCCCAGTTGGTGGAATCTCAGCATTGGTGATGGTGAGGGTCTTCTGCACGAGAGCGGTTTGGGAAGATCTGGGCCTTCTTGGGTCCTCTGATGTCTGAAGTGTGTGGGACTTCTGTACTTCCCACACCTGGGCTCCTCCCAGCAGCGAGGTAATTATAGAGGGACCTCCCAAGTTTGAGAATCGGTGTTAAAACAGTTTGTGAGACTCTCCTGTGTGTCCATGTTTGGTTTGTGTGTGTGAGAGAGCACCTCTATCTGTGCAAGCTGTTTTCCCATTTTTCTGTCCTCCTCTTGACATGTCATTGAAAAATAAATGTAAGAAATTCCTTACAACCCTCCCCTGTCCCCACCCCTGTCTCCCAAGCCCTTAGCAGGAAAAACAGAATAATTCAGTATGGTCCCCATCCTCTGGCTGTGTATTTATATAGATGGAAATATACTTTCTATTTTGTATCATTGTGCCTATAACCCTTGCCACCTTGTATAAACCCTGATGTATGCTACTTACCCTGGATATGAATGTATTGTACACTGATGCCACCCACTCTGTACAGCTGCCTAGTTCCTTTGCGACCCATTGTATGGCTTTATAAATGATAAAGTGAAAGAAAAATCCATGCTTATCTAGCTGTATTGTTTGGAAAAGGGTCTGTCAGGTCTCTGGGAGGAGAAGGGGCCTCACCTGGGCTCCAGATATGTGGTGGGCTTTGGGGAGGCCTCTGGTGGACAGCTCACCTCAGATCCTCTCCGTGGTTTTCCCACCATCCAGGTCCTGTTTCTGATTCTATGAGTGTTTGTCTGGACTTTCCAGCTAAAAGAGCAACTCAAACTGGTTTCAGAAGGAAAAAAAGGAATGTACTGGCCCACATGACCCAAGAAGTCAGGCACAGTTGGCTCCCTCCAGTGGTTTGATGGTAGAATCAAGAATTTGTCTCCATCACTTGGGTCTGAATTGGCTTAATTTTCAGGTGAGCTCTGTTTCCGGGGTGACACCACCAGGGACCCAGGATATGGCCACTCAGTATTTCATCCTTCCAGCAGGGCAGTCCCAGGAGAGAGTGAGTTATTTTCTCCCAGTATTGGAAAACCTGGGACAAATGTTCTTTGGCTCTGGGAGACCCTGCTTGAGTCCCATGACTAACTCAAGAAACCACCCTATCTGGATCTGGGTCACATGACCGCCATTGGAAACTTCTGGACCATCAAGACTGAGAATGGGGCAGTAGTTGGTCCTTGAAGGGGTGAAGTTTATCAGAGAAAGGGGAATAGAGAATGTCGGGCCAAATCTATGAATGCCCATCAGATGGTACATGTGTAGCTCACTTGGACACCAAGCCCAGGGGTGCTATGTGAATTCTTCGGGATTCGGAAAGTTTGGAATGGGACCTATTGAGGCATGCCTAGTGTGCAGGGTTCCCTGGGAGACCTAAAATACTCACATAGCACAGATCCAGGGCCCCATCAAGCTTACAGCGCAGCTGGGAGGGTGGCTTGGATGAGTTGATTTGAGCAAGTGTGTGCTGAGATCCATGTGTGGCCACACGGTGAGTGCCATGGGCAGCCTGCTCAAGCTTCTTGGTCTCAGGACTCCTTTACACTCTTAAAAAGTACTGAAGACCCCAAAGAGCTTTTGTTCATATGAGTTATGTCCATTGAAAACATTTATAAAACAAAAATGATTGAGAAAGGTGACATTGTTTTGCATTTTAAAAAGATGCAACATCTCCTTTCATGTCTAGCTTAAGAGAAAACAGCTGGATTCTCCTGGATTCTTCTGCATTCACTCTCTTGTGATATCACACACATTTGCCTCTGGGAAACCTCACTGTACACTTGGGAGTAAATGAGAGTGAAAAAGACAACAGCTTAGTATTGTTATGAGAATAGTCCTGACCTCATAGAATCCCTCAAGGGGTCCCCAGACTACACTTTGAGAACTGCTCCTCTAAGGGAACAATGACACAGAGCCTGCCTGCAGGGAAAGAATTAACACATGTTGTACAACTACTGTGGGTGAGGCACTGTCATGTCTTCATCTCCCCAATAAACCTTTGAGATAGGTGGCGGTGCACCCAAGTGGCAGGGAAACCGAGGCTGTGAGAGGTCACATAGCTTCTAACTGGAAGAGCTGGTCACCACTCTGTCTGACAGAGCTCCGTCATCACCGATGACAGCTCTGTGGAGCATGTATGTGTGTCTTCTCATGCATGTGCACCCTGTGAGCTATGGGCTGTTCTTGTCCCCATTTTACAGAGGAAGAAACTGAGGGTCAAAGAGGTTCTGAGATGGCTCAAACTCACAAACTGGTAAGTGTCAGAGCCATCATGTGGGCCAGCGGAGCTGACTGCTCAGTCCATGCCTTTGGTTCACGGGGTTTCCTGTGCTCTCAGGGTTTGCTTTCCGAGGGATGGACGGGCAGGATACCAAACTGGTGGCATTGGTCAGACAGGGGGCCGGGGCCTGAGCAGTGGGTCTGGATTCCTGGGGAGTGGACCAGGGCTGCTGGTGTGTGATGGGGAGTCTTCCTCTGATGCCACCAGCTGTGGGGTGATGAGGATGCCTTGAGTTAGGCCTGTGCAGGGGATGAGGAAGACAGGGTGGGCCTGTGAACTGGGTTGACTGAGCCTGGCTTCGAGGGGACTAGACAGTCAGGGTGGGGGCCAGCCATGCTCCTGGTGCCCTGCACAGGAGGAAATGGACTGGGCTGCAGCAGGAGAGTTCCGGTTGGAGGGGTGAGGGCTTGTGATGCACCTTATTACACTGAAGACCCAAAGAACCTTTTGGTATTTTGCTTGAAGGGTGGTTCATGCACCATCAGCTTCACCCAGGAGCTTATTAGAAAGGCAGAACATCGGATCAGAAAGATTGGAATCTGCTTGTTAACGATGCCCCCAGAAACCCAGCTCAGGCTCTGATGTCTCAATAGCCTGGCTAAGCATCACACAACTGCGGCTCAAACCTGGGGGCCAAGATGCGCAGCCCAGGGCTTGCCTCAGCACCACCTGAAAAATCAGGACTGCCAGTGCTCAGGTCTGGGTCTCCGCCGGAGAGGAGCTGTCCTGGGCCTTGCCTTGCAGCCTGCCCCGCCGGCAGGATTCTGGAGTCTCTGCAGCCCACAGCAGGCCAGGGCCAGGTAGGGCGATATCTGGGTCTGGCAAGCAGGAGCTCTGGTTGTACCAGGTGTGCGGGGTGTGAGCAGAGGCCAAGCTCAGAAGAGGCAGGAACATCAGCTGAGGGGAGGGCAGGAAAAACAGAGGGATGGGGTTGGTAGCTAGAGGTGAAGAGTCCTCACTTGGTCTCAAACTTGGCTGAAAAGTACTGAAGTCTGGCTTCCACAACAAGGTTCTGAGTGACTCAGTCTGAGGTCTAGCTGGGACACTGAAATTTTTCATCTCTTTCTATGGTATTTTATGGGCAGCCAGGGTCCAGAAACACCAGAGAAGAACTTTCTTCGGATGGGATCTTCCATAGCAGGGGTGTGTGCATGTACACGGGAGGAGAGGCAGTGTGGGAAGACAGCCCTTCTGGACTGGCTTGGGTGTCCCTACAGCCAGCCTGTCCTCATGTCCCTCCTTCTTGGGGTGGTGGGATGCCGTCTTCTCCCCTCAGGAGCTGAGCCCCAGTGTCCTTCGTCCTGCACCCAGGCGGGGCCCTAGCCCCAACCATGCTAAAGGCAGAGCTCTTTGAGGACAGAGGAGCTGTCCCAGCCTCCCAGGGGCCATGCCCTTTGGCCTACGGACGTCCATGGGAAGGGAAGGGACTGGGAAATCCAACTTCAGGGGCTTTGAAATCTCTCCTCATGGGTATTAAATAAAATTCTGCCTAATTTTTTCAAAGAACTTAATTTTCTTCATTGGTGAAAATGACTATTTATTAGTCTCAACAGTTTCTAAGCAGTTCAAAATTTGGAAAGGATGGGGACGGTTAAAAAAACAGTAAGTGTAGGACTGAGTGCACTGGTGTGTGCCTATACATGCATGTGTGCATGAGACCTAGCCCCTGGGGCAGTGCTGGGTCTCCACAGAGGCAGCTCCTTTCCTGCTTCTGTCCACCAACATTCTGGTGTTGAGCTGACTCAGCCCCAGGGATGTCAGGCCAGACCCGGGGCAGGGCTGCTCCCCCAGAGGGTGACCCGTGGCTGCCTGGCAAGATCAAAGGAGGGGATGGTGCTCCATGAGTTCTGCAGAGCAGACCCCTGGGAGGCCCAGCACACACAGGACGTGGGATGTGGGCAAGCTGGGGTTGGTGATAAAGCGCCAGCGGGCCAGAGGCCCCAGGAGCCTGAGCGACCTGGGAGAGCTTGGCCCAGAGAAGAGGCATGGGGGGATGGCGGGATGGCTGGCCTACATTCAAGGGCCTTTGTGGACAAGAGTCAGCGCTTGGCGGCCTCCATCCAGCTGTGGCTGCAGACAGAGCCCAGGAGAGCCCCATCTTCTGGTCTGAGCCGAGAGCTCAGGCATGGCTACGCACCGTGACCCAGACGGGAGTGTCCCAAGTGTGGTCTGCCTTGGAGAACACTGGCCTCAGCACCAGGCTCTGCTGGGTTTGGGTCTGGCTTTGCCAGGACCTCAGGAAAGTTTTTCCCCCTCTTGGCCTCCCAGCTTCCTTATCCATGAAATCGGGTAGCACCTGCCCTGGAGGGCTGGTGTGAGGATGGAGACCATGGCCTACAGCTGGGCCGCAGGCCCTCGAGGAGCACGCACTTCCTTTCCTTTTCTGGTGCCTCTGCCTCATCCACACCATTTCCTCAGACCTCTGGAGAGACTTGGCGGCAGAAAGGACTTGCGGCCGAAAACCTCCCGGATGATATTGATCTCACCGGCTCCTGACTCCAGACCACAGCACGCGGGGATGGTGGTACGGTCGCCTCCATGTCTCCAGCTTTTATGGGGTTTAAAGATCATCTCTGGCTATTGAGACAGGATGTCCGGGTTCTGGGCCCCCTCCTTTTAGCCTCTGCTCCATTCCCTGACTCCCAAGTTGGTCCAGGAAACCTCCCATTTGAGGGTCAGGTCCTGGGAAACCAGGGAGTGCCTGTGAGGTTGCCTGACCTCTTTCCTCCCCCAGCTCCATATCCTGTTTGAGCAGAATCTGACCTGGAGCACCATGGACCCTCCCACAGGGGACTCAGGCTGGTTGGGATATCAGGAGCAGGGGCCACATAGGGCAGGGGTCCCTGAGGAGGGCAGGAGACCACCAGGAAGAGATGGTGAAAACCTCACAGACATGGAGTGTTAGAGCTGGTGGAGGCCTTGCAGGGACCTCGAGGTAGGTCAATCAATCAATTCACCAGGTGTTTACTGAGCACCTACTATGTGCAGACACTGTGCTAGGCACTAAGTGTCACTGGTGTGTTTGTTTCTCATGCAGCATTCTGGTTCTAGTGACAGTGGGGAATGGAGAGCAGGGAAGACATATGAAGAATCAGCTAATAAGTAATTACAATGTGATAAGTGCCCTGGAGGAAAGGCACATCAGGTAGCCAGATTTTATAACTAGATCCAGATGATCTTGGTTGAGCAGAGAAGGTGTTCCTTAGGAAGTGACATGTTCTGAACGTTAGAGTCCACAGGGTGAACATCAATTGATTAGGAAAAGAGGAGAGAAAGAGTGTG